CATAATATTGTGTTGGAATGAAAATAACTACACACTCACTTGATCAAAAGATGATCGGGCAGCACTACGGCTTGTAGAAGAGGTGTTTCTCCGTAGATCTGGAAGATCTTCACAAAACCGGGCTCCTCGCGGGCAGCGTTTCGGCTCGGGAATAACGCTCTTCGGGATCCTCGGGGCTTCGGATCTTACTTCGAGGCTCGGGAATATTACCGGGGCTTTGGGGTATGATTGGCACGCAAATCGAGGCAAAACTTTGAGAGAGATAAGAGTTTGAACAAGAGAAAATGGCTGAATTCGAGTTCTATTTATAGGCTGCTGGGTCTGGGATTACGCGGGGCGTACTCAAATTACGCGGGGCGTACTTTGACGTCACTGCGTGCGTCGACTGGTGGCACTCGAGTATTGGTCAGACAAGTTGCAACCGACTGAGTACGCGGGGCGTACTCAAATTACGCGGGGCGTAATTGACTTGTCAAACTTCTAAATTGCGTAACTTTCGCATACGAGCTCCGTTTTCGACGTTCTTTATATCCACGCGAAGGTCAGACCATACTCTACAACTTTCATTTAGACTCCGTCGGCTAATTTTGACTTTTATTTTTATTATTTATTTTTAGAAGGCCGGGACAGAAAAACTTCGTTATAAATTCATAACTTCTTCGTCTGACGTCCGTTCTTGCCTAACTTTTCATCGTTTCGCTACTAACAACAAGATCTTCGATTCTCATTTAGATTGTTTCGGCTAAAAACCGTTCGATCTCAAATCGAGTATTCGGGCTGTATACTGCTAAGTCGAAACTTCATAAAATCATAACTTCCTCATACGAAGTCAGATTTGGGCGTTCCTTTTATGCACGCTCACGGTTTAACGAAATCTACGACTTTCATTTAGATCGCTAAGGCTAAATATCGCTCTATCTTAAATTCATATTTTACGTCACTCGGCGTCGTGTCGGTTCTGTCGCGAAACTTCGACAGGTCATAACTTCTTCGTTATAACTCGGATTTTGGCATTCCTTATATCTCCGGAATCCTTGTTTCGACCACTACAACTTTATGCAAAGATATCGGACTTATCTCACACTTAAATTTTGACGCTTATTTTATTCTTAATTCATTAAATTATAAAATTAAGAAAATACACACATAAATCACATAATTCAAATAATTCACAAATAATACATTCTTATTATTTCAAGTTGAGTTACAAGGTTAACCTAGACTATTACATTGCTAAAAATGGCAAGCCTAGAAACACGGGCGTTACACGTTCTTGGGCCGTAAGCTCCCGAATCTTGTATTTTAGACATGTAAACAATGTTATAAAGCATATAACAAGCATTAAAACACATTTAGGAAAGTAGACTCACAATCCGGGATGAAAACCCGAAGATCCGTCAGAGAGAAATGGTTTTTCTCTAGTTGGAATTGTGAATAATGAATTAATTAAATTCAGAAATCTATTTATAGTCCTGAAATATTTTGACAGAAAATATTTTTATTCTGGAAGTTGGACTATAACATTATGAAACTTGGAATGTTCAAGTTTCACAAATACAGGAGTATCCACTCTCCTGATATATCCAGAAACGTAAACCCTAATGTACACAAACTTGTTCGGACAAGTCTGAAGATCACTGAAACTGGACTAGCTTCTATTGAATAGATAATGTTCGTACAAATGGAAATTTAGGGTTGTCACATACGAGATTGGACATTGCATAAGAGATTGAACTAACACTGCATGAGTACTTCAAATTGGGATTTTGGGTATTGAAACAAGCTGCTCTAAGAGATTATTTCATGGATCTTGTCGTTAGTAATTCTAAGAAGACAAAATATTTTATTCTTCAAACCGATATGCATATGAGGTTTTGTTTATGAAATATGTTGTACATTGGTGTACTCCACCGCTATTTGTAACTGGTAGTCATAAAGGGTATGTCCATGTATGAATAGACTAGTAGAAAAAAACTCTGATGTCAAAGTTTATTTGTTCCTTCTACCTTAACAGGAGAAGCGATATCCCCCCCCCCCTCCGATGATTTGGTGTTGACATCTAATTTGCCTAGTCAGGTCCATGAACATTGAACAAAAAAAAAACCTTGTATTTATCTAAAAATGTAGTTTTTAAACGAAAAAAAATATTTATACAGTTTCAAATGTAATAAAAAATATATTTATACGGTTTCATATGGAAAATGATCAACATTTAACAAAATTGAAAAAAATGATGTTCGATTTGGAACAAAAAAATAAAGTGTCAAAATTGAAAAAAGTGAAAACTTAATGTCTTTTATGGGAAACAAATCAATTTTGATACGTCAGCATGATACATCATCAAGTAAACTGGTTAACCGATCAAATGGTTAGAATTGTAAAATTTTGAAATACACAATGTTAAAATTGAAAAAAAAAACAATGTCAAATTAGAATTTAGTGTAAACTTAATGTCTTCTGTGCTATTTACCCTGAGATTTCAAGCTCCTCAAATAAATTTTCCTTTACAAGAATCAAGTAAAACATGTGATCCAAAATCAAAAGGTGAAGCCGAAAGTTTACTTAAATCTTTTGTGAAATTTGAATTTTTACTTGATATGATGTTTTAATTGCTATTATTATAGTAAGTAAAAATTTGCAATCTAAATCTATTTGTATTGATATTACTATTAACCAAATAGAAAATATTATGAAGTTTTTTGAAAAAAATATAAAAATGAAGTTTTTCCCTCAAATATGAATATTGCTAAAACTATTGCACTTGATATGGGTGTAAAGCCTACATTTCAAACATCAATTGTATTTTTATGTAATTTTATATATTTTAAAAGTTTTCAGATACTTTTGTCAAACACTCGTATAACAAATAAAAACTACAACTTTTGAACCACTTGGGTTGTGGTGACTTGGTAAGGTATGTGGAAGATATGGTGGATAACCTATTGACACATGTTCAAATCCTGGCACCACTCAACCCTTGTGGCCATGGAGGTTCGCTTGCAGTGACTCTAGGGCATGAGGCAAAGCTTTATGTTTGCAGCGGGGGATTAGTCGGTGCGCGAAAGCTGGCCCGGAAACCCTCGTTAGGGAAGTTCCCTTTCCAAAAAAAAAAAAAACTACAACTTTTGGCTACATGCTACACGCTACATGGTATCAGCTATCTGCTACCAGCTACCTGCTTCCAGCTAACAACTACTTTTTCCAAACGTGCCCTAAATGAAAGTGAACTTAAAAAAATTGTATAAAGTTTGCTACAACTTTATTCTAAAGACAATGTTTCCGATGTGGATTCAGTTTTAAAAGTTTTGAAAATAACTTCATCTAATAATATAGTTTCTGCTGTTGAAAATTTGAACTTTGTTAAAGTTGTTGATTGTTATCCAAATACTTTTATTGTATATAATATTTTATTAACAATTTTTTGTCAGTGTTGCATACACAAAGATAAACTTTAAAGAATTATCTAAGATCGTCGACGTCGTAAGAAATGTTAAGCGGTTTGACAATATTATGTATAGAGAAAAACATGTTAGATAAAATTGATCTTAATAGTATTGTATCTAAAAATGTTAGGAGAAATATTTTTCTTTAAATTAGTTGTTTTTGTAATGTTGTAACAATATTTTTGTTTTTTTTGAATACTAATAGTGAATTTTGTGAGTTTTATAAAGGTATGTCTATTTCCAATTAGTTTTTATTATATTTATGATTTTATAGGTTTATTTTTTCTTTTCACTTTGAATCTACTACATCTTTGGACCAACCCTACACATAAATTTACACAAAATATGATTTGGCAAACCCATAACTATATAGTGTATGTGAACCAAAATTTACAACTTGCTTTAATATTATTCATGTACCAATATCATGTATAATATTCATTTCTATATAACCTAATTGACATACTCTTTAAAACTTATTTTCTATTGGTATTAGGATCTTTTACTTTTTATTTTATAAAATATCATAGTATTTTATTTTGGAATTGTTATAAATTAATTTCCTATATTGAAATTCCCACTATGTTATCGTATTCCTACTAGAGAGACTATCTCACAAGGAAATTATTATGGATTCGATCTTATGCCTTATATGTTTCTGTACAATTGAGACTATTGGACATCTTTTTACAAGTGGTACCGATCTCATCGAGATTTGGACACATATTGCTATTTGGCAGGGTATTCAGATTCCGGATCAGATTTTTGTTCACTCTCTTATTACGTGGTTAGACTATGTTACATTGAGAGGTGGACAACGTAAGACATTTGATACGGTGAATATGACTTCCTTTTGGTTCCTTTGGGATCTCCAAAATTCCTCGTTTTTTGGAACGAATATCCCTAAGAAACCATTTCTTTTTGATGATATTGTTTATAGAACAATTTTTTTTTGATTTTTAATGTGTAGAAAAACCAAGATTAGTTGAAGTTCTTGACTTCATAACCCTACTTCCAATGCAGTTTTACTATAATGTGTCTAGTTTAGCTTCTTTATTTTTTTTAAAGTATCACTCCATTTTAATTTTTTTACTTATATTGAAAAACAATAAAATGAATATATATATATATATATATATATATATATATATATATATATATATATATATATATATATATATATATATATATTTTGGTAAAACCCTAAAATCATGAACTAGATATATCTCATTTCATCTGTGTTTTAGTTCAGCCCACATGTGATTTCTTGGCCTGTTTGTTCTACAGCCCATTAAGCAAATTAGGTTTTCAGTTGCGGCTTTGTATAAAAACAGAACCCAAGAGCATCGCCCATTCTTCATAGCAAACTAGGTTTTACAGAGCTCATCTTCTCCCCTCCTCTACCACAAACTGAATAGAAGAGGTTAAAGAGACGGCGCCGCCGCTGTCCGCCTTGGCTTAGCACCATCACCGCTCTGTCTTGGCCCTCGGTTTTGTAAACCACTATCATCTCTTCCATTCATTTAGGGTTTATTTTCTTTCTTCAGTTTCACTAAAATGGGCAAAGTTTCAAAAGCCGATAAGAAGATTGCTTACGATCAGAAGCTCTGCCAGCTTCTCGATGACTACACTCAAGTCCTTGTCTCCGCCGCCGATAATGTCGGTTCCAATCAACTCCAGAACATTCGTCATGGTCTTCGAGGGGATTCTGTTATTCTGATGGGGAAGAATACCATGATGAAGCGTTCAATCAGGATGCATTCCGAGAAAACCGGAAACAAGGCCTACCTCAATCTCATCCCTCTCCTTGTTGTAAGTTGAACCTCACTTCTCTAGATTTCTACTTCTGTTTTGCTAGTTTTGATTAAACTATCTGTTTAGTTAACAAATTCTGTAAATAAAACCTAATTAGATCTGTTTCAGTACTGATTAATCTCTGTAAAAAAACGATTGTATATTTCTCGAAATTATGTTTACGATTTACATGATTAATGAACGTTCTTCTCCCAAAATAATCCATTTCTAAAAGCTTATGCTGTCCATTCCTCCAATCGATATCAATTGTTCTTTGAATTTAGGGAAATGTTATCGATTGACGTGTAACTTATATCTTCGTATTCACAATGTTAGGGAAATGTCGGTCTGATCTTCACAAAGGGTGACTTGAAGGAAGTCAGTGAAGAGGTTGCGAAGTACAAGGTCGGAGCTCCTGCTCGTGTTGGACTGGTGGCTCCGGTGGATGTGGTTGTTCCACCCGGCAACACTGGTCTCGATCCATCTCAGACCTCTTTCTTCCAGGTTACAACACATCACAAACCCCTTCCATTGTCATCATCATCATCGTTTCATCTTCAAAATGTTTCTAACTTCAAACCTTAACAACCTCTGTAGGTTCTTAACATTCCGACTAAGATTAACAAGGGAACTGTCGAAATCATCACCCTGTCGAGCTCATCAAGAAGGGAGACAAGGTGGGATCTTCTGAAGCTGCACTTCTAGCCAAACTTGGAATCAGGCCATTCTCATATGGGCTTGTTGTTCTTACTGTTTACGACAATGGATCTGTATTCAGTCCTGAGGTTCTTGATTTGACTGAAGAAGACTTGATTGAAAAGTTCGCTCTTGGTGTCTCCATGGTTACTTCTCTTGCTTTGGCCATCCACTACCCCACCATTGCTGCAGCTCCACATATGCTCATCAATGGCTACAAGAATGCTTTGTCTATTGCTGTTGCAACTGACTACACTTTCCCACTTGCTGATAAAGTGAAGGAGTATCTTGCTGTATGTTCATGATTCCTGATTCTTGTCTTCTTTCTTCTCCTTAAATTTTGATATTTTTTAGTTTTGATTGAATTTTGTTTGCGAAATGTTTTAGGATCCGAGCAAGTTTGCTGTTGCTGCTCCAGTTGCGGCTGCTGCTTCTGGTGGTGCTCCGGCTGCTGCTGCTGCTGCTCCGGTTGAAGAGAAGAAGGAAGAGGAGGCAGAGGCTAGTGATGATGACATGGGATTTGGACTTTTTGATTAGATGAATTATGAGTGTTGAGACTTTATGGTGCTTTCTTTCTTTTTGGTAATATTTTGGATGTTTGGTTTATGTTTTTTATATGGTTGTAATGGAGTTGTCTGACTGATATTTATATTTTTAGCGATTTTGTTTTATGTTTAAATGATAGTTTTTGATCTTCAATGCATATGATTTAATAGCATTAGTGTCTCCTTCATTTAAATTTTTAGCATTGTTATTGCAAAGTACACTCTTCTTTTAGAGATAAACCTAATATCCCACCAATGACATCATCAATACTCTATAAAATAAAATTTCAAACCGAGCATTCATTGTTAAATTATCCTTGTATAATGTTGCATTTTGAGAACAGAAAAAGAAGAAATTGCGAAGCAGATTTCCAATTTTCGTCTAGGAATTAACAAAAAATTCTTTTATAATAAAAGGATGAGTCCCAAAAGTTTCTTTAATGATATTGAAAAAAAGAGAAATCGATAAAACACATAAAGCTAATCAAGAAAATTGAAAAGTTGATAAATGACTCCCAAAAATTTCTTTGATGATAAGAGGATGTGATAATGGTTGAAATGAATAGAGATAGAATGAGAAAAACATGAATGGCAGGCAACAACATACAAAAGCGTGATCGCTAATGATAGGTTTGCATTACATGGTAAAAGAAGCTTCATGCATATCGTATGGTAAAATACTAAAATTAAATCCAGTCAAGCTAGTCAATTTTGAATAAAAATTAAAATATTTCTTTGACATCTATTTGGAGTAAGATCTGGATTGTTTATCATATTTCAGATTGTTTTTCGTGGCCGTTACCACCTGGTGAAACGGGAAAAAATTGGACCGTTGCTATTTGTTTGACTTAATTAAAAAAAAACCTTTAAAATTATTTATTCTTTTCCTATATAAATACCTATTATCTAAACAATTTTTTACACATAACTTCACTTTTTCTCTCTATATAATCTCAATTATCTTAAAAAAAATTTATGAATCATTTCGACTCGTTTGATGATTTTGATGACGATATGTTCTTCATGATGATGTATCATTATTACACTAACGAACTGCTACAACCAGACCCAACCCCGCTACTAACAATACATGCGATGTTAAACAAAAATCGCGAGGAAGGATACGAACATCTATATCGCGATTACTTTGCGGATAATTGTGTATACGGGGCGAAGGACTTCAAAAGAAGATTTCGTTTGAATAGGAATGTGTTCTTACGGATCGCCAACACCTTAGAAAGCCGGTATCGCTTATTTACTATACTTTTATACTAAATAAATAAAAATCTACTATATGTTTCTTTAATTTTACAACAAATGTACTATATTTTTAAATTGTAGTTAATATATGTTTATGTATGAATTTTTCAATTGAGATATGATGCTTAAAGTAGACGAGGGTTTACAACGTTGCAGAAATGTGCTGCGACTATTCATTTGATGGCTATGGGGAGTTACCCGATACCATAGACGACTATATGAGAATGTCCGAAAACCACAAGAGAGAGTTTGTATACATTGTCAATGGGTGTTTGTTGAAACATTTGGAGACGTGTATTTGCGGAAACCTTCATTGCATGATTTGTAAAAATTGTATGCGGTGGATAAAGAATGCCATGGGTTTCCCGAGATGATTGGAAGCATTGATTGCACACACTGAAAATATAAAAATTATCCAGTAGCATAGAAAGGGCAATACACAAGTGGTCATCACGGATCACTTTCGTTGGTTTTAGAGGATGTTGCTTCTTAAGATTTATGGATTTGACATGTATTTTTGGGGTTGTGGGTTCTAACAACGACATCAACGTTCTTGATCGGTCGCTAATATCCGACGATCTTTTGAATGGAAAGCCCCCGGATGCCTTTCACGGTGAATGGAAACGAATACAAATATAGGTATTACCTTACAAATTGAATATATTCTTAGTATTCCACATTCGTGAAGGCATTCCGCCACTCGGTTGAAGAACGAGATAATTTTTTTAAGAGAAGACAAGAAGGAGAACGTAAGGATGTGGAACGTGCATTTGGAGTGCTGAAGTCAAACTGGTGAATTAAAGCCTCCACCATCTCCGATGAAGAGAAACAGTTCTTTACGATCTTCATCTTCATCAAACGAACTTGAATTGACAACCTTTGCCATAATACTCTAACAACTGTTTTGAAAACCAGATCGGACCGACCGATTGAACGGGAACTGGTCGTGGTTCCAGTTCTTTCACCCCCAAAATCGTCCATCCCTTAAACCGGAAAACCGCCGGTTTTCTTCAACCCACGGTCTAACCGGGCTGATTTAACCGTCTTGAGAACCGTTTTAATTAATTTAATTTTTTTTTTCTCCAAAAATTTCGGGAAAAAGCTATCTCAATTTCTCAATCGAGTATTGATAGAAGAGAACCACTGATTGTCGTTACAACCCAAACTCTAAACCTAATGTCGACTAACACAATCGATTGAAGAGTACCTCCGATTTTCAATTTCGCCTTGGTCGAAATCATCACAGTGACACAGAGGGCAATGATTTCTCCGATTTGTGCTCTCGGTGAGGATAACTTCCGATTTCCACCACAATCGACACTTCCATAATACAAAGGTAAAGTAGTCGACACTTCCTATCAGGCTATCATTGTTTCTCTTTTATATAAACTAAAACTAAACACCTATATATGGCTTTTGTGTTGAGGTTGGGACTATTTTTAGAATCAGAAAGCATTTGGAGCTTTTTGTAAAGTAAACATTGATACAATGTATAATTAACAATGATAAATTGCTTATTATTTCAGAAAAGCATTTGGATTGTGTAGCATGTTTACTTGTTTATGTTGTTTAGCATGTTCATTGTTTCTATGTTAATATCCACTTTTCTTTTATGATTTTTTTATGATTGTTTAGCATGTTTACTTGCTTAGGATTATTAATAATTTGATATAAATGTAACATTGGTTGTTTGTGTTTATTATAGATTATGAGCACTCCTGTTTCAAGTTCCAATCCATTCGAAGAAGCACAGTGGAATACTGTCCCATCTGGTTAAAAATGATAATATATTCGAAGAAGCACAGTAGATTATGAGCACTCCTGTTTCAAGTTCTAATCTATCTGAAGAAGCACAGTCGAATATTGAAGAGTCCGTGTGATCAAAACATGATTTGCAAGC